TCAAGAAACTATTGATCAAGTCCTCAATGATGATACTGCACTGGCCGAAAAAATTAACACATTGTTCAGAGAATAGGGGATAACCATTACCAGTATTTTAACCACATTGGGATTTATTTTATCAACTTTGACTTTTGGGTTGACCAGCGCCGGATGGTGTAAAAAGAGTGGATAAAAAGAGTGGATAAAAAAGCATATAAAGGCATTAGGAGAAGCACTATGAAAGCTCGCCGGGAAAGCCGCGTCTGCACTTTCCGGTATAATAGGGAGTATTGTATCCTGGCTCTTGAATTTATTAGCTAAGACCGCCACTTGGCTTAGTCAAAACTTGTGGGCAGTGATCATAGCAATTGCCGGACTGTTGTACGTATCTGCTAAAGACTATTTATCCTAATCATGAGTAAACCAGCCGTGACTCTAACTACTATATGCGCTGTTTTTTCATTGATATGTTGTCGATTGTTGGTGGCAATATGTGGTTTTACAACTTGTGGCTGTTGCACTTCTGTTACAGTAGATGACTGTGGCTTGACTATTCCTATTTTGCCTGTATTTGTTTGCGTTATTAATTCAGTGTTAATATCTGAATTTATACCCGGTTGTTGTTTACCAGTATCAATAACAATTTTATTATTATAGCCTATCACTTTACCAATCTTAAGTTCCATATTACTCAGAGACATGTATAGTCCTGCCCCCAAAACATAGTCTACTTTGGATTGATTATGCTTTATAGAAGAAGGTATGTCAACTGGTGAAGCAATAGCATCCTCTACGTTTGCAACAAACTGTTTTTGTGCATCAAGCGCTGTCCCAGAACCAATTATTCCTGTTCGTGTTTGCGACTGTGCACCAAGAATTGCCCATACATAAGTTCTTATTGATTCATTGTTTGTAAAATTATTTTCTGTTCTATCATAAAGAAATTCATTCCAAGCATTTTCAACATCTTGTGGTTGCTCAACCTTTTGGATGGTGAAAACAAACACCACCCTTAAAGTTCATACGATCGTCTCTCCACTTGTTACTCGAGAGACCAAAGCTGGGAAGAAGTTGACTCTTTTCAGTAAATCATCGCTGACAGAGTGTGCACCAGCGTATGTACCGGGTAATACCCAGACCATGGTTAACTCCATGCAGATGCCAATCTTTACTCGTAGAAACATAACATTCCTGACAAATATGTTCATATGCCCACCTATTGTACAGATTATTTGATGCCTTCCATGCTCGATCCTGCGGGAATGGGGCACTAATTTCTTTAAGTATACGTCTAATTTGATAGTACACGTGAAATGATAAAACAGACTTATTTAGTTCAAAGCGGGCAGCATAAAGAGATACACCACATCCTGTTTCTGGCACACCATATGGCAAAGTTTAACTGGTTTTGCCAAAATTGCATTGGATTGTAGAACCAATCATGTACCATTTTGTCGCTAGTTGCCGTGAACCTGTATTTTTCAAAGATATTAGGGAAATGAACAAAAAGCTGAGCACCAGAGGCTCTTACTAAAATCGACTGGTTCGTAAGGTAAGTTGCTTCGATGCTACTTTCTGTATTAACACCTACCATATTGAAGTTGTAATATAGTATCTTTGTATATTTAATATGTATGTTACACACCCGGGAATAACAAATGGTCAGTCTATTCAACTGCTTCAAGCTATCAAAAACTCAGCGGGGCAACTTGAAGTTGCTCTCTGTGATATAACGTATTACCAGCGGTGGACCAATATAAGTGCTGCGAGAGGTTATAATAAGTTATTACTAGATAAAGAACGTCACACTATATCTGATGGGTATTACAGCGTATGCTCACTCAATGATGAAATTTTAAAGCCTTTGGGAGCTAGTCTCACACAAAATGAATCAAATTGGGTGCTGATTTTAAGCAGTGGAGCACATTCTATAAAACTTGATAGGGACTTAGCAAATACACTTGGATTTATAAGAAGAGAAGTGGCACCCAACACAACAATGCATGGAGTTAAATTACCCAATATAGTTCCCTATCAAGAGTTGTGCATCCATCTTGATCAGATCAGTACAACGGATAATATTCAACTCGAAAATCCTTCAACTCTGCTAAGAGCTATTCCAGTCAAAGATGAAAAATACTATAGTGGCAGTACGGAAATTTCTCATCATTACAATATAAAAAATTAAAGCAGGGTATTATTACAGATCTCAAAATTTCTGTATCAGATGTAAAACATCAACCTGTACATATAGGATATTTGAGTGTAACACTCCATATTATAAGTAATGGTTGATTCTTCAGGCCCTGGACACATAACTATAACCAGGGTATTTTGGAAAAAGGTTTTAATATTAACTTAAAACATAGTTTATTAAATTCTACAAGGCTTTAGGTTAAAATACAGATGAAGGGGTGAGGGAATCACCAACAGGTTAAAAAGTTATCGATTTTGCTTCTCTGGGAAATAGAAATGGCTTTTAGAGGAAATTACCAAGATTGCTTGAATCAGAAATGACTGTTAGGGGGATTCGGTACCTCACAGGGTAATGGGTTTTCACCTTAGTGTTGTTTGAATTATGAGTATGTTTGGTTGACTAATGACTTTAGGAAATCAACTAGAGGAAATTAGAAGAGTTTTGATAGTATAAGTGACTGGAACGGAAATTGGGGTTCATATGGAGGTGAGCATTAGGACTCATTTCACATGATGTCAAATATTATTTCGGTGGGAGGAGCTAAAATTATCATCAATAGTATTTAGTGAGTTGTCCGGGAGTGGTGCGGGGATTCGGAAACTCACGGCTGACCAGAGAGGTTCTCTCTGTAGAATGGAATTCCGGGTCAGAAAAGTATTAGAGTTAACAGCTGATCAGAAATGCTATCAGGCTCTTCAATGCATCCTTTAGGTATGTGTTGTATTTAAGTTATACAGGCTACAAGAAAATAACTGAGGACCATGTGTGTATATTTATGATTAATTCTATCATAAATAAAAAGGACTTGTGATTTTGAGAGAGCTACATCATCCCCAGAACTTAGGAGTGGTTGATCAGAACAAGTGACCAAGGGAGAAGGGTAAAGTACCCGCCCCCTAAGGTTACATAACCTTAGACAATGTAATACAATTGTGCTTTCCGATCTTGGAGACACAGAAGGATTTGATAAACCTGGTATCGAGGGTAAGTTATATGCTTTACACTTACAAGATAATGTATACAAGCGGAAAGAAGTTATATTCACAGAACCTAATGCCCTAACACCTAATTTAATAGATTTAAATGATGTCGTTAGTAGACTCCATAAAAACACTTTATACAATCTTTTTTCGTGACGATAACAATAAATTGACCATGTTCGAAGCAAAAATCGAATGGCTACTGAATATCATCGTTGCTCCACCATATGTGATGATGAGTAAGGGACATCATTTAACTAAGATAATGAATCTTCTATCCCCTGCCAGATGACCGAGGCTATATGTTATTGAGTCGCCCATCATTAAAAGATGTTAGCTTAAATTTGGTTCCTGGATTCAACGGTGTAAAAAATAGCCTGAATGGTAGACCTAATTTTTCTACAATTATTATCAAAGTCTTGTTGGGGGATGCGCCAGAAGATGCTCCAGATATATTACCGGGTCTATCAATTAAATGGCTTATGAAACATGAACGTCAACGTTGCAGTATTATTATTTATCTTGGAGTATCGCCCCGTTGCAAGTCTTTAGATGGTCCAAGTTAATAAGGGATTTGGCATTTCACTAACTAAGATATCTATGCCATATAATATACACCTAATAAGACTGATGTATACTCTCAAGACATTTACGCAAGACCAATTAAACACTCTTTTGTTATAATATATATTTTGGGTTTATATCCGGCGGTCGATGAAGCATCTGAAAAGATGGATACTGTTGATGGATTTCGATTACATCAAATAAGTGACATAAAACATCACATAGAGAAGGAGAGGGAGTCGAGACTTGGATTATATAAAAAGTATCGCAGAGCTGTGAATGCTCTCAACGGAGATGACACTGCACTTGTAGCAGCTAGCATGGGACTTGTAGCAGCTGGTGTTGGTTTATTATCAACTATAATCGCCATGCCTATCGTACTTGGCATGGAAGTAGCAGCCGGAGTCTCTGGACTGGCAGGAATAGCTCTTAAATTTATTTCTTGTAGGTTGCAACAGAAAGCATTAAAACATGACAGTATTTATGTACTCACTGAAGCAAAGTTAAATAGCATTGAGGATCATATTTCAACAGCACTGGCTGATATCAAGATATCTGAGGAGGAGTTTCGTTTAGTGTTGTCAGAACTAACCAAATACAACGTAATGAAGCAGGAGATTCAATCAAATTCTCGTAAGACCAGTGGTATTAGTGAAGACGAGAAAAAAAAGTTCATAGAACAGGGGAGACAGCAAGCGCGTCAAGTAATCTGTGCCAAAACCAAAGAACTGGCTGGAGATTAAAACAAAATTGTTTTCTGGATACATCGTTGGATCGCACCACATATAAAATCATTTAGACGAATGTCTACATAAGTCTATAATAATGGGGAACTACAAGCCAACAAAGGAAGACCTTGAAAAACCTATCGAAGCATTTATGCTCCGGGACAAAATTTCACCAGAGATTGTTCCACCAGGGCTGGTAATAGGTGAGGCAGCCAGATGACCCCACACATTGCCATGAAGGCAGGAAGGTCTTGATACCTGAATCATACACTGGTTTGGTTTTAGCTGATATGGATGTCTTTATTGTTGCCAGGGCCATGTTGAACATGATACTGATATGTTCATAAGTATGAAAAGAAGGGATTATAAATGATGGACCCATGACAGAAGCTTACACTGATGATGTCGGAGTGAACTAAACAAGCACATTCAAAAATCTTGAGTGGAAGTGAGCTAAAAATGTCCCCAATAGTCATCCCCACATGGTGACTCATCATGTACCCAATTAACTGATGAATTGATATAGCTTATAAAACTCTTTGGTATTACCTTGTTTTCTCTTCTTGTTGACGTTACCACCACTTTCACTGTGTCTTTTTCCTGCCTTCACAGTGTCTCCTCCATGCATGTCATAGAAAAACTGTGTTCCCTGCAAATTATTAAAAATAGCTGCTGTTCACCAGATAGCAACAAAAGTGGCTGATAGCTATATTGCCCTGCAGTCAACATTATTCCAGCAATGTAATGAATCCAGTGGATGATGGCATGATCAACATTCCATGTAGGTAGATAACACACAATCAGCATGACCAATCGGCTCTTGACAAGCATACAATGCTTGGGATCTATACCCTGACCCTGACCCTGACCCTGCCTTTGTGGATATATGTGTTTAAGCCTGGATAAAATACTCTTGCAACATAATTAATTGTCATTGATCGATATGTTAAAATGAACTAGAAGGTGCCTCAGAAGGTACAGCATTTGAACTAAATTAAGTCAGGTGACAGTTGACCTCACCAGTTTCTATGTACACTTACGGACAAAAGAAACATGAATACAGTGATCCCTCGCCTCAATGCTTGATGAACGTTATAGATGAACTGCGGTTTAACCGAGCTGGAGTTGTAGTGGGTAGATGACCAACACAACAGTACATGCTCTGCCCATCTAACTCGATCAACTGTGCACATTTCGGAGTTAAAAAAAATAAGAATAGTAGTTGTTTATGGTTCATAGATAAAAAAGATTTATCAAGTGTTATGTGCTTTAAAAAATACACATCATATCCCTTCAGCGAATTCAGGTGAACAAGGTATAACAAACTTGGTCAGTATAACTATGAAATTTGATATAAAACATCACAAGACGATTTACCATCCCTAATGCCTTGGATAAGATTACTGTGGGTATTTTCTCGTACACTAATCTGCAAATAGCAATCAGCTGTACACACGTTTTCTCCAATTCTACTGGTGATTCAGTTAAAAAGTACCCAATGATAAAAATTCAAATGCAATGGTCAGAAGAAATTGTATTTGAAATTATTATTTTATCAGGAATAATATATTCCCATATTGTGTTATTTTAGTTGCAGCTTTCACTTTATATACTTAAAATTATAAGAAACATAAGTATAGCTCTTTGGCACAGCTGATTGCTACTGCAGGATGTTTGACCAGCCACCAAAGGGACTTCCCGCACTGTATGTATTTTGATTGCGAAAAGGTTAGGTTGACATATAATAGTCCAATTACTACAAATATGCCTTTTAACTAGTCAAAGTATGGCATTTATGACAAATGATATCTATCTTCTGGCAACTACAGTTTGTTTCAAGGCGTTAATAGCATTAATCTGACCGAGGTTGCTGTAAATAAGGTTGAGTTGTGCGATCTACTGATCACTTCACACATGATTTTGCCGAAATTTGCCATATTCGACGTAATAAGCGCCCCGCTCTAATAAGCGCCCACGGTGATATTTGCTAATATATTGGCTAGTGAACAATCCCAGTTAGCACCCCTTCCGATTGATCAATATACACAAGCCTTATTTTTCTTCGTGTATAATGCGTGTATTATATGCATCCTTAATTGTGAATTAGATTCTGGAAAAATACATCTGTCGTATATAAACATTTCAGGCTGTCAGCATAAACCACGATCTTTTAACCCTGTTGTTTTTTACCCAAATAATATTCTATTAAGAGCCCCCTATTTCTAATTTTGAGAGCGCCCTGGGCGCTTATTATGTCGAATACGGTAAATACGTCGACCTGCTTTCGAGGACAGGGGGTCCCACGACCCCCCCTATCAAACAATAGTTCAAGCCAACGCTTTAATGGCCCAAGGCAGTCAGCCACAGGAACTAGAGGTAAGGTCTTTGGCTCCTACTCCCGTCAAACTAGATAAGTTAACACCATGGTTGTGTCGTTATGCTCAGTTAAATGCAGAGGATGCACAATATTTGCTCGATGGTTTAACATTTGGTTTCCAACTCGAGTTTCAAGGTACACGCCATAGTCGGCTAGCAGGCAATTTACAATCCGCAACCCATAAAGATAGGAGAGACATCGTTAGACAAAAGCTTAATGATATCCGGCGAATTCATCATCTATCTTATCCCAAAGCAGGGTCAACAAGAAAGAAGTGAGCAAAGCTCACATACCCCCGTTATCCCTGCTGGTCAACAACAAATAGTAAATAGTTTGTTAATTAATGAAATATACCTGTTGCTTTAAGTCAGAGGAACTGCCCTTTCCTTTGTAACCCCATGAGGATGCATTATGTTTGAAATGAACACATGTTTTTGCAAATATATTTCAATCTAGTGTGGGATAATCAATGCTTAGCACAACATACATTCTTGGAATCCTTTGATACTGGAAATTAACTACAAAGCATGACGCATACTTATTATACATAAAATGAAAAAGAGCAAAAGAGAAAACTTTCAGAATCTTATAAAAGATAAAAAACAGTGGTTAATGTAGCAAGTTTGCTGAAGCTAGGATACATAATATTGTAAACTTGGATCGTACAAAAACTCTACCCAAAATTTATGTTTCACCATGATTCCATGGAAAGGGCAAAAATAAAAAAAATCAGAATCTTCAAACTAGCAAAAGGCACAAGTACTCATTGTGGTAAATGGGTGTAGCAAGCTTGATGAAGCTAGGATGCATAGTTAAAAGTTTAAGTTTCTTAATGTGTCCATGAAAATGGCAAAAATTAAAAAATTCAGAATCTTCAAACAAGCAAAATGCACAAGTACTCATTGTGGTAAATGGGTGTAGCACGTTTGGTGAAGCTAGGGTGCATGGTTAAAAAGATATGGGCCGTACAAAATACGCACCCTAAAAGTTTAAGTTTCTTAATGTGTCCATGGAAACGGCAAAAATAAAAAAGTTCAGAATCTTCAAACTAGCAAAAGGCACAAGTACACATTGTGGTAAATGTGTGTAGCAAGTTTGGTGAAGTTAGGGTGCATGGTTAAAAAGTTATGAGCACAAAAGCTCGGACGGAAGGATGGACAGACGAAACGCTATATACCCCTGATTTACTTTGTAAACGGGGGTATAATAAACGACCACATAGATCTGTCTCTTACGCCAAGTAAGCTGTACAGATGGTGCAACACTTGGGAAAGGGAGCACTGCTTGCAAAGTTTGACATCAAGTCAGCATTCAGAATTATACCAGTGCACCCGGATGATTTCGAACTGCTGGGTATCCAATTTGTAGGTAAATTTTACTTTGATAAATGCTTACCATTTGGCTGCTCAATATCATGTGCTATCTTTGAGACTTTCAGCTCATTCCTACAATGGTGCATAAGTCAGCGTCTCCCAGCAATACCGATCATGCAATACCTTGATGACTTTCTGACCAGGTGACAGCAGGGCACAACACAATGCCAATCCTATTTGCAGTCTTCATTAGAAATGCTAACTCAGCTTGGTATTCCCATCGCCCAGGACAAAACAGTAGGCCCAGTGTCTCAACTTACATTTATGGGCCTTGAAATAGACACGCTAGCTATGCAGGTGAGAATAACCGTTAGGTAAGATCAGTGAAATCACAGCTCAAATTCGGCACATACTCGCCACATGAAACTCAAAGGCAACGAAGAAAGAGTTACAGTCTCTCATTAGTAAGCTCAATTTTGTGTGTAGGGCCATCCCAATGGGTAGAGCATTCTGCCAAAGACTCATCGACCTCCTCTGCCAAGGTAAGCAACCTTTCCATCATATTCGAATCACAGAATGGGTAAAACAAGACCTTCAAATGTGCCTTACATTTCTCACGAACTTTAATGGTGTATCAGTATTTCAGGACAAGCTGTGGGTAGACAACTCTCACTTTCAGCTTTACACAGATGCAGCAGGCAGCATAGGTTTTGGGGCCTACCTTCAGGGCAGATGGTTCTGCAGTAGATGGCCTGACCAGTGGGTTAAGGATGGGACAACACTTGAAATGACCTTTCTGGAGCTGTTTCCCATCGTCTGCGCCATTCAGCTATGAGGAACACAGCTGATGAACAAGAAAAAACTGTTCTACTGTGACAACCAGGCAGTGGTGGCAATCATCAACAAGCAGTCAACCAAAGCCCCTCGGGTGATGAATCTTCTCCGCCCCCTTATCCTCCTTTGTCTTAACTATAATATTTTGTTTAAGTCAAAATACATTGCAACTAATTCCAATGTCATAGCCAATGCACTCTCGAGGTTTCAGCTCAATCGTTTCCAGGCAGTAGCACCGGAAGCAGAACCTGCGCCAATGCCGGTCCCAGACAACGTATGGTAGATCTAAAGCGAGAAGTAGACAGGCTACTACAACAGTCCCTATCTGAAAATACCAGGTCGACCTACAAGACAGGCATCAACGGGCTGCAGCGGTTCAGAGCGGTGCATCAGCTTCCGGAAACGTGGCCAGTCCCCCTAGATCAGGTCGTAAACTTCATTGCTCATTTGTCAGTCACCAACCATTCTCCCAACACAGTAAAAACATATATTGCAGGTATATCCGCCAACCATAAATTTAAGGGTCTGGAAGACTGTACTAATCATTTCCTGGTTACTAAACTAATAACAGGTATGTACAAGTCAAGAGGGCGCCAGGACACAAGGAAACCTATTACTCTGGACCTGTTGAGGGGGTCATCAACAATCTCACACAGGTTTGTTCATCGTCATACGAAGTATGCCTCTTCAGAGCTGTCTATTGTATAGCCTTCTTTGGCTTCTTTAGGGTAAGTGAACTAGTTCAAACTAAGATGTCACAGATGTGTATCAGGTGAACTGGAGAAAGCTACTATCCACCTCCCACACTCCAAAGGCAATTCAGTGGTTACAGAGGCGACACCAGGTAAATCAACCTGCCCAGTGGCTGCCCTTAAGGCATACTTAAACGTGCGCCCATCTGGCCCCGTCCCAGAATTTATCCACTTTGATCATACACCGCTAACCAGGTATCAGTTCCATGCGGTCCTCAAAAAGGCTTTGGCCCTCAGCTCAATAGATACTGAAAGTTATTCTTCCTACTCTTTCCGAATCGGAGCAGCAACAACAGCAGCTACCAATGGGGTACCACCACATCTCATCCAGCAATACGGCAGATGGAAGTCAGAATGCTATCAGTCTTATATATGTCTTCCTGTGTCATAATTATTCATGTTAGTTAACAATAACTAAAAAATAACTAATAACTGCCAAATGCTATTACAGTACATTTGTTCCAGTCTGGATGGTGGGCTCAAGCTTCATGGCAAGGGCAAGGCAACAGCTATCCCCACAGCGCCCGGAGCTGGTGCCCCACAAAAAGATCTTGTGGTTGGCGAGGGGCGGTCTGCGGTGGAATGAGTGAGTGAGTGAGTGAGTTGGGTTTAACGCCACTTTTAACAGTATTCCAGTTATATCACGGCGTGTCCTAATGTGGGAGGAAAGCCCCAAGTGAAGCAGGTCTCAGACGTTTACCACTTTGATGAAACCCACGAGCACGTCTATGGTGCTGACAAACCTAGAAACATAATCGGGGTGAACCAGGATTCGAACCCACAACCATAGGTTTCTGGCGTACCCAAGGGACGCAACTCTGCACAGTGAATCGTGGCGCCTTAGACGACTGGGCCACCCGTGCCCCCTGCGGTGGAATGACCTGGACAGGGTAATAGATGCTCAGGTGGAGGCAATGCGGTGCAGCCCTTCAGCTGTGTACACCTGGGATCTAACGACTTGGGCTCCACGAAGACAAGCCAGCTCCCTCGTCGATATGGAGACATCGATCATGTGGATTCAGGCAACGTAGATACTGGCACTCCGCACGCGACCCACGTAAGGTGGAAAAGAGCAGGTCCAAGCTTAATAGGCGGCTAGCCAATTGTCTCTGAGACGTTGCTAACTTTTCATTTATCCCTCATCCCAAAATAGTGGCCACTGTCCGATCCTGGTTCCAGTGGGAGGGAACCCATCTTAGTTTTAAGGGGATACAAGCTTTCGTCAAGGATATCAATTCCTCTGGTAAAACTTTGACTGGTTTCTCAGGTGGTTGGGTGACAGAAATCATCTTGTGAACTGTTACCAAATTCTGAACAATATTTCAAACAGGCATCAAAATATCCGACCCAGAGTATCGGGGATAAATAACTAATCTAGTTTCACATTGGGTAACTGAAACACATATTAACATTTAACAGTAATTCGTTAAATGGGTTTAGAGGCACCACTTATTTTACATCCGACCATTTATTAACTTTATAAGTAATTCTACTTTTAACAGGCAAATTTCACCTCACACATGTAATTCTGTGTTCATCAGCAACCTGCAATTACATCACTCCCTTCCATCCACGTGCACTACGTCACTTTCTCTGCCCTACGTCACTTCCTTCTACTAAAGCACTTTCACTCTCACTTTTGGCATTCATTTATAAACTACATCTTGGCTCAAATGACATGTGTCGGGTCTCCTCCAAGGGTGGGGGGAGCAATATAACTCATATTTTGTACAATTGTTCTTGTATATAATCATGTACATAGCACGGTTCATAAATAAACTAGGTGTGGTCAGCATGGTGCCGGGGGGAGAGCACATTAATAACAAAAAAAACCTGAGTTCTTGGCTGCTGCTTCTACAGCGGCAGTCCAAATCTTCCTGCCTTCTGTTTCCACGGGAGTGAGTACAAAGATCCCATTCCTATACCCATCTGCCATGCCACGGCGGAGGGCCACACCTATGCTTCCCATACATACTGTCCTGTCGGCGCCATCCACACAGTGACCTATTTTCATCCACAATCCTCTTTGTCTCATTTACTACATTACCTTTCTGCTAAACTTTATAGCATACTGCCATACAGTATCACTATAAAGGTCTGCATATAATCATCTGCTAACTTTGCTTCTGAAGGAATGAGGGGCAGTGGGGTAGCCTAGTGGTTACAGCGTTCGTTCGTCCCGATCCCCATTGGTTAAATCGTTCACTCGTCCCGATCCCCACTGATTCCCGACATGGGTACAATGTGTGAAGCCCATTTTTGGTGTCCCCACCATGATATTGCTAAAAGTGGCGTGAAACCATACTCACTCACTCCAAAGGAATGAATATTTGGTGAGACAAATATAGTCTGATCATATGTTGATGATCTTGATTCTTGTGAACATGGAGGTAAAGTAGCACATGGTTCCGTAAACTGTCGATCTTGCCCCCCCGTTGAGATCTCTGTTCCTGATATGAATCCCAACCTTTGAATCCATGCTTGGAATATATACATGGCCATTGACCTGCATCCATGGATTTACAAGCAGCAGATCCAACCATGCATGACTGAGTTTCCGTGTTTATGTCATGGCCCCATGAACCGATGGATCTGTCTACCTGTAATTCCATACCCACATCAGGTATTACCAGATAAGTGGAACAGACATGTGGTTGCTGTCAGACAGATCCAGATCTCAGATTACTGACTTGAGGTTCCCCTGCTTGTGCCACGGCCCAGCGATCCGACGAACCATTCTGATGGTTGTTCCGCACCCACGTCAGGCATTACAAGCTTCTCAACCTGGGGGGTAAGTGGAATGGATCTGCCTAAACTTGTCCGTGGCCTGTCAGATAGATCCAGGGTCCAAGGCTCTTTAGCATGCGTCCCTTTGTATTGCAAGCCTGGCGTCCAATTTATCAAGCCTTTGTTTAAGATAGCTTATCTTGCGTAATGAAAATCTTGTCACAAATGTTATATTTGGGATAATACTTTCTCAGTAAAGTACAGTTTCTAGTACTTTTTTGGGTCGAGTCCCGTCCGGGATTCAAACCCACACTGCCAGAGTGAGGCACCTAATCGCCAGCACACACATTTGACCACTTTCTAAACAGCACTGTGTGTTCAATGAAAACTTCCTTACTTGCAGAATAATATTCGTACGTAGCAACTGATATCAACATAAAACAATGAACACTTTATGAATTTGAAACTATAAATATGTTTTGCTTGTAGTCCACAAGGAGAAATAATGAAGTTTGAGGGATTACACATGCACTGAGTGCAGTGTTTCAGGCATTATGGCTGATCACTCAAGGAAAGGAAAAACATGTAACACTAAATAAATTTTATTTCTTAACCTTGTCATTACTTGCAAGCAAGAGAAATAGGGCAATCATATACTTGAGGGAATGTTTCTGTAAAAGCTACTGTAGGTTACTGCTTAAAAAGATATACCTAAACTTTCAATTAGAATAAAATCACTTATTGCATCACCACTAACCTGACATGTACTTGTAAATTAAGTTTTGTGAAGATGTATTGAACTGATATCTTTATGTCAAGCTGTGAAAAGGAAATGGTGACACTTTTGACAACAAACATTAAAAAATAGGTTCTATTCCGTTTACACAATATTTTGAAAGAGTGTAGCTGGTACCTGACTCAGGTCATCCCGGTTGCTTCCTGGTGTAGAAAGTGGTTTGTATGGTGATTCTGTGGCATCAAGTGGCTGTTTACTTTGTTCCTCAGTTGTAATGTGGGACAGGGGCTTGATTGAGAATGCATAAAGAAACTGAAAATATAAATAAATCACACAAAATAAGGTTTAAAATGTCTATGCAGCAAAGCCCCTCACTGTCTTTTCACAGTCAGCAATACTTTAGGTGAAAAATATAAATAATCGTGACAATATACTGAAGTTTGCATAGATCGAGTCAAAACCTGGATTTGGAGAGAATTGTCACTGAAATTTAACCATATATTTAGCATGGGTTCAAAGAATTGGCTACGCCCCAACTAGAAGATGACACATACTTCCATCATTCAGTCAAGTAACATTGCTGCAAATTTGTTGAGACAGGAATATCAAGTACCGGTACATTGGTTCCTCCAGAATCTATCTAGTGTTGAAACGGGTAGAGAAAATGATACTCGAGCACTCGTACCCCACTACTCACGAGTACTCGTCGATGGAGCGAAGTGGCTGAGATTCCTAAGGGGGGGGGGGGGGGGGGGACAGGAAATTTTGAAAATCCAACCTCCAAGTACACTATTTCCTGCATTTTAAAGTGAAAAACAGAGCTCATAATGTTTTTGTAAAATGTCATTTTTATCTCTACAAATTTGATACAATACATATGTATCATTTTTCTGATACTAAACTTAATTATTTTGGTTAAAGAAAGAAACCAATGTGATGTTAAATAACATCTCATAGTTGTATATGGAAAACATAAATTGAAAGTCAAACAAAAGCAGTCCAAATAAAGACAATTATTTAAAGGCTATGCATTAACACTTGCCTATTTATAAATAATTGTTTATGTTATTCAGATAATTATAATATATGTTATAAATAGGCTTTCAGATTTCGATACACTATGTATTTATACTATTACAAGTGCGTATTACAATCATTTGTTAAAACATAACGAGTGAAAAGTCAAACAATGAATTCTTAATTTAAACCGAAAACAGAAACAATGTTAACGACAGTATTCAACTTCAATGCCAAACAAAGCATACATAAATGGATACGGAAATCCATAGGAATGAAAAACGATGTCCTTGTCAATATGACAATTAACATCAATGACTCTATTGGCTTTGCTCTCATTTGAGGTTAGGCAGTGCCGGGCCATCAGTGGCTGGAACCGAGGTAGTAGCATCCACGGGGCGTGGAAGATCAACACATGCACCCTGCATGTCAGATACCTTGGGTTTGCTTGAAAGTGAATGCCTGAGGTTCTTATTGAGAAATATTATGACATCAGCCATGCTGGGGTTAAGAGCTGATCGTTTCTCCGAAATGGTTTGTCCAGGTGCAGAAAAGGCGCTCTCTGAACTCACGCTTGTACCTTGTATTGCAAGGTATTTTCTTGCTAGTTCTTGCATCTTCGGGTATCAACTTTCATAATCCTTCCAGAACCCTAGTGCGGAATTTGACCTGGTTGTATCCGACAGGTCCGTTTGAAGCTGATCTTCATCTTGCTCATCATCTGACACTTTTCTCTCAGATCTTCCATGAGGTATGAAAAGACGCTTCCCTCGGATTTGACAGACTTCTCAGGTGGCTCATCCTCCTCCTGAGGCTCAGACTTGATAGGTAATCCATGATCTCCTTGATTCCGTGCGTTGTGACACGTGGTGTTCTGAAGATCATCACGTATACGGCTGTATACTTGTGATTTCTGCTCATCACTAAGAAACCTTAGTTTCTTGAATCTGGGTTCAAATACTGCAGCAATCATTGGAAGTTTCAGGAAGTACTCCCCATGCTCCCCCTTTTATGATGTGCTGACGGAAACCATTGGTGATCATCTCCTTTACAGTGCAGATAACATTGCTGTCGAGCTCTTGTGGCTGCAAGTGGTTCTGTATTAAACCCAGGACGAGTGGGAAATGGACGAAGATGTCGGGTACTCCTCAGAGCACAGAACCTCTGTAGCTGTGACAAGTGGTCTCGATACCACAGTGAGCTGCTCCATGATTGTCCACTGGGAATCTGTGAGTATCTTCAAGGTCTTCCTTCCGATACATGTGGAGCTGACCGTGTCATGGAGAATGGCGAAGATGTCCGATCTCAAGGTGAGAAGGCGGTCAAGGAGGAAGAAGGTAGAGTTCCACCGAGTGGCAACAAGAATCACTACATGTTGAACGGGTTTGCCAAGATTTCGCTGATGATCTTCAAGCGCTGTTGTAGCCAAAGGAGATATGGGAATAAACACTGCAAGTTGTCTTGCAACAACAAACACGTTTTCGATTGTAGGTACAGATAGTGCATCTTTGATAGCAAATTGTAAGGTGTGAGAAACACATTGAACGTGTTTGTATCCACCTGCTGCTGCAGCAGCTGCCGTCATGTTGCTGGTGTTGTCAGTTGTAATTGCTGACAGCTTTATTTAGAATAAAGAATAATAATATTATTTAGAACAGCAGCCAGGTTTTCTCCTGTATGACGCACATCCAATTTCCTTGTGGCTTATATAAATTAGACAGAGTCCAATCACTGTTCACAAAATGACAGGTGACAGTGATGTATCCATGTGAGGTACAACTGGTCCAAGTATCAGTTGTTAAACCGACAGGTGTCGTCAAGTATAACTCTTTTCTATTCATCATACATAAGCATCAGATACTTATGCATTGTAGTGCGACATGGCATTTTGTACTAGGGATTAAGTGCTTCAGTAAATTCTCTAAAATCTTCTCCTTCAACGATAGAAAGAGGTCGAAAATCCTTGACAATCATGACCACACCTTTTTTTCTCAAATCTTGGTATGTTGTCTTGGAGAGAGGTGTCATCTGAAAATATTGCTTAAAGAAAATTTACATAAAATATTTATTAAACGTTTTTCATATCATGGTTTATAAAATATAGATTCTACCTTGTTTTAATACAACTTGTTTGATCCATAATGTTTAGGCTACTAGATTCTAATTCGGAGGTTTACATTTTAAATATATTATTTTAGATTCCAACTTTCAAATATTAATTTTTTTCATTAAGTAGTCTTTTATGATGTAGATCTACTGTCATAAAAATGTAAAACCTACCTTTTTAGTGAAACTAACAAGTGTGCTTTGTTTTGTAGATGGGGAGATGGAGGAAGACACCTGACTCTTTGTGAGTTTGGCGTGTTTCATTTTCAAATGATTTCGCATAGTCGATGTTGTGCCGCCTTTGAATGACAGCTGAACACCACACAAAGAGCATTTTGTTTCAAGTTTGTCTGGCGTTACTGTAAAATAAGCCCAAACGTTAGACCTACGCGTGGTCAGACTTTAAGCAGGGGAGGTAACTCACATTTCCAAGGGGCAGGTGTTGTAATTAGTGTTTCGAGTTCACAAAAACAAATAGTGGCTATGAACCTGTGTGTACAGCTAGCTTTTCCTTCTGAAACTGTAGCGAGCACGCTGATTCATCACAACGTCCCTCTCGTCATCATCCAGCAGCATGGCCGGATAGCGGTGAATCTAGCGATGGGACACAGAAGCGAAAGCATGAATTGTAAAGCTGTGGGCAGTTAAGTTTGAAAGATGCCTTTCCATGTAAATTATCATGCAGTTCTGATCGCTATAAGCTAATCACAGAAAGGATTGGGAAGTTTATTTCTCTTGACTTGACTTTCCTGTTGTTGATAATGCTGGCTTTTAAGGGTTTGGGGAGTGTTGGAACCCAAATATGAAGTTCCAAGACAAGATACCTAGACTCAGTGAAGAAACAAAGAAAGAAGTTGTGAAAGAACTGAATATGGCAGCATCTGTGGCAATTACTACGGATCGATGGACGAAAACTTGGAGTTGCATAATCGAGTGCTACAGAAAAGATCCATTAATGAATCTCACACTGGTGAGAACATTGGAGCTGTCTTGAAGTCAGTTTTTGCTAAGAGGAAGTAAGAAAGGCCTAATGGAATCTACTGTGTGACTGACAATGCCTCAAATAAGATGTTGCTTCTAAGGAAGCGAATCTAGAGCATGTCAGATGCTTTGCTCACACAGTGAATTTAGCAACACTGAGGGGACTTCAAACTGACACTGAGCAAACTTCTTGCAAAGGTATTGAAAATAGTCATATATTCTTTCACAGAAGCAGAACAGTACATGCTTTATTTGTGCACACACAGAGCATATTACAGCTCCCCAAGCATATACTGATTCAGGATGTCAGTACTTGTTGGAACAGTTCGTTTAATTTGCTTGAAACAGTCTGGAGCAGCGGCCAGCTTTGTACTCTTTGTAAAGTGATCAGTGTGTGGTCAAATGCAGAAGACCTTGTTGCAGTTCTGAAGTCCATCACTACTTTCTTGTGTGAAGAGACCATGTCAACTGTATCACTAATTTACCCAGCAGATCATTCGTGTCATGAAAACCAGGGAATCTGACTCTATCTTGAAACACACTGAGCAGCACTACCTGCAGGATGAAATATTCCTGATGATGGTGTCAGTCCTTCCAATCCCTTCCTTGTGTTGATGCAGGCAAAAGACATGAGGTCTGTTCTTCACTCATTTCAACAACAGTTTCATCCCATCTGCAGGTAGTATTTTTTTTGTTTTCATAGAACTAAAAACATGATATATTAATCATCTTAAACACTTAAATTGTACATTTTTACAAAACCCTCCATCAAAGTTGAACACTATTTTTGATATATTTTAATATGATATAAAATGACACAAATAAAACTAAACTACATCAAGTTTTTAAGTTTGTCAGTTTAAAGGGGTACTAATCTCTGGCTTCTTCTCGGCTGTCTAACACTGCCCACTAGGGCTCCCCAGCTTCCGTGAGTCAATTTTCTCACAACTGCAACTGAGCGGGACAAAGACTTGCATGGCTACTGTCTGTGAGGACAACAAAATAAACTTTGACGCAATATCTGTTTAACGCATTTTTGAATACTGATTGGTAACCTGTGATCTATAAAGTTTTTGACAAAGGGTGCATGTTAATTCATTTCTCCAGCTTAAAGAAACAGACAAAAAGAACGTTGGAAGCTCATCGATGCTGTCATTTGGAAATACCCCTGATGGTTATAGTTTAATAATAAATAAAAAGTATCCCTG